GGATTCACCCTCAACCTGCTCACACGCAGCCATCCAGTAACGGCCTCGAGGCACTGATGGAAACAATCGGGTACAGCTGAGTGTCATCAGCGTACTGATAACACTCAAACCCAAAACCTCGAACCAGCTGAGCAAGTGGTCGCATATAGATATTAAACAGAGGGGAGAGAATGGCCCCCTGAGTAACCCCACAAGATAGAGGGGACCTCTCAGAGACCTCTCAGAGATCAGGCCTCCCCTCTCCACTCACTGGGCATGTTTAGCCTGAAGAAGAGAAGGCTGAGAGGAGACATGATGAGACCCACGTGAGAGGAAGTCATAGGGAGGAGGGAGCAAGCCTGTTTTCTGCTTTCCTGGAGACTAGTAAGCAGAACAATGGCTTCAAACTACAAAAAAGGGGATTCCATCTGAACATTAGGAAGAACTTCCTGAGAGCCGTTCAGCAGTGGAACTCTCTGCCCCGGAGTGTGGTGGAGGCTCCTTCTTTGGAAGCTTTTAAACAGAGGCTAGATGGCCATCTGTCGGGGGTGCTTTGAATGCAATTTTCCTGCTTCTTGGCAAGGGGTTGGACTGGATGTCCCACGAGGTCTCTTCCAACTCTTCTATGATTCTGGTAAAACCCAGACTGGTTCTGTCAAGATGGCCCTCTAGAAAAAGGCCTTTTTTTCATGTCAGGAGCAACTTGAGAAACTGCAAGTCGCTTCTGGTGTGAGAGAATTGGCCATCTGCAAGGATGTTGCTCAGGGGACACCCAGATGTTTTGATGTTTTGCCATCCTTGTGGGAGGCTTCTCTTATGTCCCCTCATGGGGAGCTAGAGCTGACAGAGGGAGCTCAACCCACTCTCCCCGGATTCAAACCGTACTTGCCAATATTTTCTCTTCCATACAGACACGAGAGAGGTGCTCTTCGGAATGCACTGGGGCACTTCATTTGGGGACACACCCAAAACATTTTGAAAGACCAAGATCCCTCTGCAGAGCGAAGCAACATAAAAGCACCAGCATGGAGACCACCATCATGCTACTAGTGGCAATCAACATTTTCTGAGGCTCACAAGGTGAGAGTTGCTGTTTTCCCAAAGTGAAGACCAGTGATGGCATAAAGTGGCACCAAGTGATGTCACAGTTGTTGAAAGACAAGAAAACACTGTAAATCTTAAGACCATTGGGGTATAATGGCCACAGTGGTCCACACCCTCGTTACATCCAGGATAGACTACTGCAATGCGCTGTACGTGGGGTTGCCTACATCCAGAGAACACTGTGGACTCAAACAATGATGGAGCTTGACCAAACTTGGCACAAATATGTGTTGTCGAAGTTGTGTCAAACTTGTGTCAAACTTGGCACAAATATTCAATATGCCCAAATGTGAACACTGGCAGAGTTTGGGGAAAATAGACTTGTCATTTGGGAGGTGTAGTTGCTGGGATGTATAGTTCACCTACATCCAGAGAGCACTGTGGAATCAAACAATGATGGAGCTTGGCCAAACTTGGCACAAATCTGTGTTGTCGAAGTTGTGTGAAACTTGTGTCAAACTTGGCACAAATATTCAATATGCCCAAATGTGAACACAGGCAGAGTTTGGGGAAAATAGACTTGTCATTTGGGAGTTGTAGTTGCTGAGATGTATAGTTCACCACCAATGATAGAATTGGACCAAACTTCCCACACAGAAGCCCCATGACCAACAGAAAATATAGTGTTTTTTGATGGTCTCTGGCGACCCCTTTGACACCCCCTAGCAACCCCTTCAGATTTCCCGACCCCCAGGTTGAGAACCACTGGCATACAGGGATCATGCATCTCTCATGTCACGTCAGCTCCACTGGCTGCCTGTTTGCTATCGGGCACAATTCAAAGTGCTGGCTTTGGCCTATAAAGCCCTAAACGGCCCTGTCCCAAGTTACCTGTCTGAACGCGTCTCCCTTTACGGATCTCTGTGGAAACTAAGATCTTCTGGGTAGGTCCCAGGTGAAACTACAGCGCCATATAATCCAGTTCAAGTTGGATAATCTGTATTTTATAAAAGGTAAAGGTTGTCCCCTGAAATTAAGTCCAGTCATGTCTGACTCTGGGGCATGGTGCTCATCTCCATTTCTAAGCTGAAGAGCCGGCATTGTCCATAGACACCTCCAAGGTCATGTGGCCGGCATGACTGCATGGAGTGCCGTTACCTTCCCGCCGGAGCGGTACCTATTGATCTACTCACATTGCATGTTTTATATGGATTTTATATGGCAGTGTAAAAGGGGCCTGAGAGACCTACTAGTTTTGACAAAAAATGTCTTGTAATGGCATCACTTCTGATTGTTAGCAATAAAGTTCCTTTGGAAATGAATCGATTCTTCACTCAAAAACAGTTTGGATGCCAAGAATCCTATGTTAACCTGTACATTTATCAATGTTAGTTACAATATAACTATCGTAAATACTTTGGAGGCCTTGGAATTATAACAAAACTAGCTGCCCCCTGCCACGCGTTGCTGTGGCCCAGTCTGTTGATCTGGGAAATAAAGTAATGAGAAAGTGATGGTTTCTAATATATGTAATGTCTTTATGTTTGTGGGTAAACAGTATTTCTTGCTGTTTCTTTGTCAGTGTTGATGTGGAGAGTGTCTGGTTTGCCCACCCTGGAACATGCAACATATCATTGTCCTTCTTTAAGGGTCCCTTTCAAATCTATGATACTATATCTCTCTGTGTGTGAATCATATCTATCTATCTATCATCTATCTATCTATCTATCTATCTATCTATCTATCTATCTATCTATCTCTATCTATCTATCTATCTATCTATCTATCTATCATCTATCTATCTATCTATCTCTATGGCTGGATGGCTCTTTGTCAGGAGGACTTTGATTACGTTTTCTTGCCCTGATGAAGGGAGTTGGATTGGATGGCCTTAAGTATTTTCTGTTGGTCATGGGGGTTCTGTGTGGGAAGTTTCCCCTGATTCTGTAGTTTGTGGGGTTCAGAATGCTCTTTGATTGTAGATGAACTGTGAATCCCAGTGACTACAACTTCCAAATGTCAAGGTCTATTTCCCCAAACTCCATCTGTGTTCATATTTGGGTGCATTGAGTGCTTGTGCCAAGTTTGGTGCAGATCCATCATTGTTTGAGTCCACACTGCTGTCTGGATGTAGGTGAACTACAACTCCAAAACTCAAGGTCATTGCCCACCAAACCCTTCCAGTATTTTCTGTTGGTCATGGGAGTTCTGTGTTTCAAGTTTGGTTCAATTCCATCATTGGTGGAGTTCATAATGCTCTTTGATTGTAAGTGAACTATAAATTCCAGCAACTACAACTCCCAAATGACAAAATCATAATTTTTGAGTGATGGTCACTCCTTGTGTTGTGAAATGTTTTGTTGCCAAATTTGGTGTGATTTCGTTCATTGGTTCTTTTGTTTTTAAGGTACTCATTATGCACAGAGCATTTATATATATATAGATTTCTTTAAAAGTAACAATCAGGGTGTTTGCAAAGTACTAGCATGGTTCCTGGCTACAATAAGTATTAGGCCCCATCTACACTGCCATACAGGGCCGTAGCCAGAAAAAAATTTCGGAAGGGGTTTAAATTTGGGGGGGGGGGGGGGAAAATTTGAAACCTGCCTCCTAGCTCACGCTGAAGCAAAGAGCACAGCAGGGGGCAGAGCAGCCTTCAATAGCCTGCAGCTCCGCCCTTGTCAACCACCTCCACCAAGTCTGGCCTCCTTAATGAGAGCATTCAACATCCCCCCCCACCCCAACTTGGTTGCTTCACTACTGTTCTGTCGCGCGCTGGGCCTGTAAATAATTGTCTTTAGAACAGGATGTGCAACCTTTGCCCAGCGGGAAGCCAGGGGGCCTAAAGAGAAGTTCTCAGAGGTTTCCACCACAAACAGTCTTTAGATGGCTTGAGAAGTACAACAAAGTAGTTTATTAATGAACAATCAAACAGAAACTTCTCTTGTCTTCAGTAAAGTTAAGCAAATGATTCCAAGCTTTTAGGCAACTGGTGAATTCCTAATCTTGCCCACGAAGGACAGGCAACTTCAATACCTTAAAGGAAAATCCCCTTTTTAACTTCTCCCAGGCTGACTGTAATCTAACCCTTACTGATGTGGGCTCCGCTACCGGGTTGAACTGCGTCTCGAACGCCGAGTGGACCTACCAGCAAGGCAGTAGATGTTCTCCAGCTGGAGTTCTTTGGTCTTTAGGGCTGTTTTCCTGGAAATTCTTTGGAGACTCTTAAGACCTTTCTCCCCCGGAAGGTCTTAAGGGTTGAAGCTTTTGTACAGGGGAAGCTTGCACACATCCTATACATAAGCTTACCTTGCTGAGACTAACTAAAAATGGCTCCCTTCCCTATCCTGTACATAAGCTTACCTTGCTGAGACTAACTAAAAATGGCTCCCTTCCCTTCCCAATTGCCCTGAGCAAGGGGCGGGACCAAAACTTAACAATGATGGACAGGTGACTTGCCCTATGACTGCAACCAAAGAAGCCACCTATCTTCAGAGTCCCTGAAACCTAGGACTGCAAGCAAACATTTAATACAAAGCAAATAAAGTTGGAGCTCCTGGTACAGCTGTACCAGAACAACTACATCGGCTATTGCTGCAAGTAATGACAGTGTGAATAAATTGCTAATATTTGCTTGAGATAGTGCTTGCAGTTCTGGAGGGACTCTTGATTTTTTGCATCTCATAGACTTAGCATGGGGATTTGGTTAACCAGTTAAAATTCATGAGTAAACCAGGTTTTTTTTAAAAAAAATCTGAAACATTTCGGGGGGGGGGGGGGGGGGGTTGACACCCCTAACCCCCCCCCCCCCCCCCGCCCCCTGCCACCCCACCCCCCCCCCCCCCCCCCTTCCCCCCCCCCCCCCCCCTCGCTACAGACCTGCTGCCATATAAAGTCCAGATTATCTGCTTTGAATTCAATTATATGTCCATTTGGGTTATCAGACAATGCATAAAAGAACAGCTCGGGATACTCACTGTGGAATTAAGAGTGTGACGCAAAAACCTCACAACTTTGGAGTCTGAAGCAGGGCATGCCAAAGCTAGGTAACGGTTGCGAAATGTGCCATAGATTTTCAAATGGAATCCAGGCACCGAAGATTCTTTTCCCATATTGGACATATCCATACCGTATGCGGATAAATCAAAGTACAAGCCATGAGCACGGATCTCTGGGGTTGGAACCTAGAATGAAGGCAAAAGTTGGAAAGGACAACAAAGGAAAAGACATGAGCTTCAAAGGGGGAAATGTCATCAATTCGCACACAAACACTTTGCACATGGATATCAAGGGCTAGACAGTTAGACATCCCAATTGGTATTTTGAAGCATCTTCTGTACAACCTGTAACATTGCATACATGAAACACGAAACGAATGGCCAAGCAACATCAGGGTGTGGTCAGAATTGCAAAATGTCATAGTGTGGAAGAATGCTCAAAGTAGGAGAGGCTGCTGTAGTTTGCTTTTGTTGTATTATTCCTAGTCTATTGCTTACTAAGGACAAGATTATGATCTATCCTCTCTGCCCGTCACTCAACTATGCAAAGTAGTTTTACACTTTGTACTCATTTTACAGCAACTGAAATAACCTGACAACAAGGAGGACGACTAAAATGATCGGGAGTCTGGAGAACAAGCCCTATGAGGAGTGGCTTAAAGAGCTGGGCATGTTTAGCCTGAAGAAGAGAAGGCTGAGAGGAGACGTGATAGCCATGTATAAAATATGTGAGAGGAACTCATAAGGAGAAGGGAGCAAGCTTGTTTACTGCTGCCCTGGTCGTGGAACAACGGCTTCAAAATGCAAGAAAGGAGATTCCATCTGAACATTAGGAAGAACTTCCTGACTGTGAGAGCTATTCAGCAGTGGAACTCTCTGCCCTGGAGTGTGGTGGAGGCTCCTTCTTTGGGGGCTTTTAAACAGAGGCTGGATGGCCATCTGTCAGGGGTGCTTTGAATGCAATTTTCCTGCTTCTTGGCAGGGGGTTGGACTGGATGGCCCATGAGGTCTCTTCTAACTATAATTCTAAGGGGAAAGTTGGAGAAGGGAGAAACTGGAACATTTAAAAGCAGCTTCTTTTAATGTCAGGAGCAACTTGAGAAACTGCAAGTCGCTTCTGGTGTGAGAGAATTGGCCATCTGCAAGGACGTTGCCCAGGGACGCCCAGATGTTTTGATGTTTTACCATCCTTGTAGGAGGCTTCTCTCATGTCCCTACATGCGGAGCTGGAGCTGACAGAGGTAGCTCATCCATGCTCTCTCCGGATTCAAACCTGAAACCTGTCAGTCTTCAGTCCTGCCAAAATGAGGACAATCCCTGCCAAACCAGAGTACTTAAGAATTTTGTTTAAGGCTGACCTGACCTCAAAGAAACCACTTGTATGATCAGAATACTCAAGCGTAGTGGCTGGTCCACTAATTTCTGTGCAAACAGCCATCGTTCCATATTTGTTTTTGTCTTCGCCCTGATAGCCAAGAGGCATCACCAGACAAAAGGTTATGCTAGAATGACGCAGGACTGCCTTTCCCAGAATCTGCTTTGATTATTTATTTCCAGGATATGAATCATTTTAGTTAGCTGCAGTTTTGATTTGTTGTTCCTGGACTTCTCTCTATCTGGCTCTTTAATAAAAACATTTAGTAGGGAAATTGGTTGATTTACCTACTTGTGTCTCTGTTTATTCTCCTCACTTTCTGATGATCAGATTTCAACCTTTCTACTTCTTCAATGTTTTTTCAAGAACTACATAGCTGAAAAATAAGCGCATATACTAGTAAAGGAAAGTTAAGTCCATTCGTGTCCAACTCTGGTGGTTGGTGCTCATCTCCATTTCTAAGCCGAAGAGACTGTGTTGTCCATAGACACCTCCAAAGTCATGTGGCCGGCATGACTGCATGGAGCACTGTTAATTTCCCGCTATTGATCTACACACATTTGCATATTTTCGAACTGTTAGGTTGGCAGATGCTGGGGTTAACAATGGGAGCTCATTCCACTTCCCAGACTCAAACTCGTGACCTTTTGGTCAGCAAGTTCAGCAGCTTAGCAATTTATCTTACTGCGTATACTTAAAAAAATCCCATCCCTGCTCAAAATGTGACCTGCTATATTCTGCACATTAATCAATATTTTCTCAATTTTAGTAGGTAGTAAATAGAACAGTCATTCTTAACCTGTGAGCTGCGGACCACCAATGGGCCACGAGGACAAAAATGTGGTCCGCGAGCCCTCTTCCTCTTTATTTTATTTCCGCTCCTCTACACCGCCTTCCACTCCTTCCCTGTCACTGACAAGACCTACCCCCTTGGATAGACCACATCAGCTCTAGGTGATCAAATATGGTTTTCTGTAAATGGGCAGATGGCGATTACTGGATGGTATAAGTTCTGTATCAGAAACTAGAGCTGATGTGGTCTATCCAATGCAATTTTCTGAATCAGCACCCCAAATAACCAAACTGAATCTAAAGTTGCCCAAAAACTGATTTGTAACCATTTTGGTACAAATGTTGGAGAGTAGTCCCTCACCAAAAAGAGGTTGGGAATCACAGAAATAGAGGCAAAGAATGCCTCTGTGGTACAATGAGAAATGAATTTATTTATTTATTTCGTATCAAAAGCATTGCATAAATTAGTATAAAACTGATAAAAATAGGTGTGCGGGCAGGTAAATATATTTTGACCAAAAACGGGCAACAGCAACAGCATTATCTGTAGCCTCCAACAATTCCTCCTCTGTACATAAGGCGGGGCATAGTGGGCAAGCATACAGATGCGGAGTTGTCTGTTCTGTTCCATAGTCACACAAGGTGTGGGATTCTTTTAGGTAGTGCCATTTTGCCAGGTTGTCTTTTGATCTGCGCACCCCACCTCTGAGTCTGTTCAGGGACTTCCAAGTTGCCCATTCTTGGTTTGTCCCTGGAGGAAGACCCTCGTGGGGGGCTATCCAATTGGGATTTCCTGGTTTAGCTGCCCAGAGGGATATTCTTGCTAATGCAGGGGAAGCATTAAGAGGAGTGGTGGTTCTCATGAAGCTTTTCCTTGATTTGAGTCTACTGGGAGGATGCTGGTAGCCATGGAGTGGGTGGCTTTCACAGTGTTCAACCTTATTTCTCTCACATTTAGTAGCAACTTCCTGTCGGGGACACGGACAGAGCCTCTTTGAAGACTCAGTAAATACAGTCAGGCATCCCGCAGGCAAGTGTTTCTCATAAATGGCTAATCTTTCCAAATCCAAAAGCATTGCTTTTAAACATGAGAAATGAATAAGCAATCTAGATACCTGTCTTTGATCTGGTCGCTCGATAGCAGCATTAGCTCCATAGGCGTTGCAAGACTCAACAGTATACTCTGGGCTGATTCCAAGGATTGTACTTGATTCTCCACAGGATCCATCTGCTATGATTACTATGTTTGGCCAATGGGAAGACAGGTTCTTTTTCAGAAACTCCTCTGAAAACTAATAGAGAGAAAGAGGGAGAGTGACTCATGAACACTCAGAGGCGGCCCTAGGTAATTTTTAATGGTAAGCAAACACTATTTTGGCGTCCCGTCCCCCCCAACCAATCATTAATATATATTTTCTGTTCATTGTGGGAGTTCTGTGTGCTATATTTGGTTCAATTCCATCATTGGTGGAGTTCAGAATGCTCTTTGATTGTAGGTGAACTATACACCCCAGTAACTACAACTCGCATATGTCAAGGTCTATTTTCCCCCAAGAGCGCCTCAAGAGTGCCCCTGGGCAAAATCAACTATACTGCAAATGCTTACTTTGCATAATGGGTTGCCAAGGCTCCCCCCGAACTGCTAGGGCTGTTGTGGGCCGAGGGGGCACTCCTCAAGTGGCGGTCGAGGGGCATTTACAGAGGCGCCTCTGCACCCCTGGCAAAAAAAGTGTACTGCGACCGCTTACTTTGCGTAATGGACGAGCCGCCCCTATGAACACTGCATGTGTGGCATTAATATTCCACCCTGGTTTTAAAGGCCGAGAGAAAGCAACACTAAGTAAATAGGCACTCTTTTACAGACTTATTTAACACAAAGTAGATCAAAATGTAATGGAAGTTCTATCAACTGAAAACAAAAGAGTGTGATATCCTAAGTTTCAGAAAGATAAGGCAGTCCCCGAGCTACAAACATCTGAGTTACAAATGACTCATAGCTAAGAATAGGGGTGAGACAACAGGAAGTGAGACAAATCTACCTCTCAGAAGGGAAATTCACTCCTGGAAGAGTTGTTATCATGGGGGAAAGGGGTCTCCACTGAAGCTTTAAGGTAAAGGTAAAGGTTTTGCCCTGACATGGTCCAGTTGTCCATAGACACCTCCAAGCTGGCATGACTGCATGGAGTGCCTAGATATCTCTTTGAACTGTATGCCGTCGTGCCTTGGGGCTGTAACTCTTAGTGAAGGAGACATAGACATGACATCTTTCCCCCAGGGGATTGCTTCTTGCCTCCTTTAAAGAACTTGAACTCTCAAGGACCAAAACACTGTAGATAACTCAAAATAGGTTTTATTGTTCACAAAGAGTTATTCCTTTAAGGCAATAAGCTGGAAGTTTCAAAGTGGGTAAAGGAAATACATTACAGTCTCTGGTTGTCTTGGGTCCAAGGAGATTTCGCAGCTGATAAGCTTTTCCTGTTCCCTCTTTTCTCAATGGCCGTGAAGGTCGAAACAAACACAACCCCCAGTCCAATGGCCTATGTTGAAGGCACAGAGTCTTCCTTTTGATGCCAAAGGACCGGTTTGAAGGTGCTTGGGTCTCCTCAACATTGTCCAGGGCGATCTGGACATGAAGTATGAGTCCCAAGGGTAAAAACCTTAGAATTGGTGATGAGAGATAATTTAATTAAGGGCTTTAGAGCCAAGTCTTTTTCTCATGTCTATCTGATAGAAAGTTTGATGGTAGAATGGAAAAGGAAAAGCTCTGCCCTCCTCCAGGAAGAGGTGGAGCCAAGCAATTAGGCTGAGGAAGCAATATAAATGGTGCAAACAACATTGATTGACAGCTATAAATAACCAATCAATCCAACTATACATTTACAAAGTAAGCAAGTATGGGCATGTTATACAATATAAACCTTTGCACTTTAAAGTTCTACACACAGGTGGTGCCACTCGCGCCATCACAAACTGTTAGAGACAAAGATGTGCAAATACACACACACACAAAGTTGCCCAAAAAACATCTACTCTCCCTTAAAACATCTTGGTTTAAATCATGCCCTTATGAGACAAAAACATAATTAGACTTCTTTAAAAGTAGCTTAGTTGGTTTACTCACAAACTTCCTGTATTCAGCATACAAGTACATTGCTTATCAGTCCAGTTACAGACAGAAGTTGAAGTAGTTTCTCTGTGTAGGTAACACAGGGCATCTTTCTCATAATCAACAGTTCATTGTCTAAAGCATCTCACTAGTCTGAGAGTCTAGTAGAGTCTCTGTTCTCTAAAGCACTGAGTTTCTACTAGCTTCTAAAACAGGGTTTCTCAACCTTCCTAATGCCGCAACCCCTTAATACCATTTCTCATGTTGTGGTGACCCCCAACCATAACATTATTTTCCTTGCTTCTTCATAACTGTAATGTTGCTACTGTTATAAATCGTAGTGTAAATAACTGATATGCAGGATGTATTTTTATTCACTGGACCAAATTTGGCTCAAATATCCAGTACGCCCAAATCTGAGTACTGGTAGGGGTTGGGGGGATTGATTTTGTCATTTGGGAGTTGTAGTTGCTGGGATTTATAGTTTACCTACAATCAAAGAGCACTCTGAACTCTACCAATGATGGAATCGAACCAAAATTGGCACACAGAACACCCATAATCAACAATAATACTGGAAGGTTTTGGTGGACATTGACCTTGAGTTTTGGAGTTGCAGTTCACCTACATCCAGAGAGCACTGTGGACTCAAACAATGATGGATTTGGACCAAACTTGGCATGGATACAGCACGGATACAGCCCTACAGCTTGGCCGGGGAGAAAAGGCCCCACAGCTTGGCTGAGGATTTTACAGCCTTACAGCTCCTTTGCTGAGGACTTCAGCCAGCCATCACAACAACCTGAACTCCTTCTTTTTCCCCTGGAAGTCTACAAAGCTCTGCTTGGTAAGGGTCGCTCGCGGAAGCCAGACGCAGTTGGTACCGGGTGCAGGGGCTCCACGCCAACAGAGGCAAAGACAGACTGCCCAGATTAGAAGTTAAGGATTTCCCCATTAGTTACAGTTATGAAGATAGTGCCTGTTCCCTGTGGACAAGATTGAAAGAGCCAATAGACTGTTAAGAAAGCTTTAATCATAGATCAAAGAGTTGGAAGAGACCTCATGGGCCATCCAGTCCAACCCCCTGCCAAGAAGCAGGAATATTGCATTCAAATCACCCTGACAGATGGCCATCCAGCCTCTGTTTAAAAGCTTCCAAAGAAGGAGCCTCACCACACTCCGGGGCAGAGAGTTCCACTGCTGAATAGCTCTCACAGTCAGGAAGTTCTTCTCTGTTCAGATGGAATCTCCTCTCTTGTAGTTTGAAGCCATTGTTCCGCGTCTAGTCTCCAAGGAAGCAGAAAACAAGCATGCTCCCTCCTCCCTGTGGCTTCCTCTCACATATTTATACATGGCTATCATATCTCCTCTCAGCCTTCTCTTCTTCAGGCTAAACATGCCCAGCTCCTTAAGCCGCTCCTCATAGGGCTTGTTCTCCAGACCCTTGATCATTTTAGTCGCTCTCCTCTGGACACATTCCAGCTTGTCAAAATCTCTCTTGAATTGTGGTGCCCAGAATTGGACACAATATTCCAGGTGTGGTCTAACCAAAGCGGAATAGAGGGGTAGCATGACTTCCCTAGATCTAGACACTGTGCTCCTATTGATGCAGGCCAAAATCCCATTGGCTTTTTTTGCCGCCACATCACATTGTTGGCTCATGTTTAACTTGTTGTCCACGAGGACTCCAAGATCTTTTTCACACGTACTGCTCTCGAGCCAGGCATCCCCCCATTCTGTATCTTTGCATTTCGTTTTTCCTGCCAAAGTGGAGTATCTTGCATTTGTCCCTGTTGAACTTCATTTTGTTAGTTTTGGCCCATCTCTCTAATCTGTCAAGATCGTTTTGAACTCTTCTCCTGTCCTCTGGAGTATTGCCTCTCCCTCCCAATTTGGTGTTGTCTGCAAACTTGATGATCCTGCCTTCTAGCCCTTACCCTAAGTCATTAATAAAGATGTTGAACAGGACCGGGCCCAGGACGGAACCCTGCTGCACTCCGCTCGTCACTTCTTTCCAGGATGAAGAGGAAGCATTGGTGAGCACTCTCTGGGTTTGTCCATTTAACCAATTACAGATCCACCTCACCATAGTTTTGCCTAGCCGACATTGGACTAGTTTCCTTGCCAGAAGGTCATGGGGGACCTTGTCAAAGGCCTTACTGAAATCCAGGTATGCTACATCCACGGCATTCCCCGCATCTACCCAGCTTGTAACTCTATCAAAAAAAGAGATCAGATTAGTCTGGCATGACTTGTTTTTGATAAATCCATGTTGACTATTAGCGATGACCGCATTTGTTTCTAAGTGTTTGCAGACCACTTCCTTAACAATCTATTCCAGAATCTTGCCTGGTATCGACGTGAGGCTGACCGGACGGTAGTTGTTTGGGTCATCCTTTAAAGTACCTGTTTGTTTTCATCAATAAAGAACTTTGTTGGACTTACTTTAAGCAATCTAAAGACTCTGTTTGGGGGGAATCCAAAGGCCTTTAGTCTGAGGCAGCCCCGGCATCCCGTTGGGCACACAGAATTTATGTCCTGTCTACAGTCATATGCACAGGCCCAGCATGCAACAGCACATAATGACTACTGACACATTTTTTTCATTGATCGCACAGGCCTAGCAACTATTATGTTCTTAATCTTAGCCTTCACTGCTGCATTCAAAACATTGTTTGTTTTATTGATTCACCTGCTTGACTAAATATGCACAATGATAATTAGTTTAGCTGCCCTGACTTATGGGCGACTTCAGTACTAACTCATTATCGCTTAAAGTAATCATGGAAGCACAATAGCCCGGTAATTTCCTACACACTAAAATCAACTGGTCACGGTATCTGAGCTGCTGTACCTTTGAACATGTCAGTTGGCTCATTAGACAGGAATCAAAACTGTGTGCTTATCTGAATCTAAAGTCAGCATGAACTTGGAGCATGTTTTCAAAACGAATAATGAATAAGTGCAATAAAAGGAGGACTCTGCAGCTATGTGAGGTCAGTTCTGTGCTTTAAAGCTGGCATTTACTCAAGACATATCTTAGCAACTCCAATGAACAGCGAGAGTCCCTTGCTTTTACATCACATCTTAATGGCAGATCTCTTGGTTGTTATGTTTCTGATTTTGTGCCATACCTCAGTCACTTCCATCAATGGCCAAAGTCCCCTGTTCTTACACCAGATCTTAATGAGAGCACAGATGGTAAAATGTAGATTGGGATCTCATGGTAGATCTCTGACATGCTGTTCTTTTTGAAGATCAAAAAATGTTTCTGCTTTCTGGGACTTACTTACTAAGGCGATCCCTCATAGTCCGAGGATGACAGTACTCCAAGATCGGTGTTCTGTCGGTGACTGTGGAGCCCTATTCTTGATCTGCCTCCTCTCACACAGTGAGGACATCGGTTTCCAGGTGGAAAGTGGTCCTGGTTGGGGTTGGCTTGATGCGCCTTCCTCTTGGCACGTTTCTCTCTTTCACCCTCCATTTGTGCCTCTTCAAATTCTACAGCACTGCTGGTCACAGCTGACCTCCAGCTGGAGCGCTCAAGGGCCAGGGCTTCCCAGTTCTTAGTGTCTAAGCCAGAGTTTTTAAGGTTGGCTTTGAGCCCAACTTTAAATCTCTTTTGAATCTCCATGTTCCACTCTTGAGTTTGGAATAGAGCAACTGCTTTGGGAAACGGTGGTCAGGCATCTGGACAACGTGGCTGGTCCAGTGAAGTTGATGGTGAAGGATCATTGCTTCAGTGCTGGTGGTCTTTGCTTCTTCCAGCACGTTGACAGTTATCCACCTGTTTTTCCAAGAGATTGGCAGGATTTTTCAGAGGCAACGCTGATGGAATTGTTATAGGAGTTGAGTGTGACATCTGTAGACAGTCCATGTTTCGCAGGTGTATAGCAGTGTTGGGAGGACAATAGCTTTCTAAACAAGCACCTTGGTCTCCCTACGGATTTCCTGGTCCTCAAACACTCTCTGCTTCATTCGGAAAAATGCTGCACTCACAGAGCTCAGGCGGAGTTGTATTTCAGTGTTGATGTAGATTTTTGTGGAGAGGTGGCTGCCAAGATAGTGGAAATGATCAACGTTTTCTAATGTTACACCATTAAGTTGTATTTCTGGCATTGGAGAGGGATTGGCTGGTGACTGCTGGAAGAGGACTTTGGTTTTCTCAATGTTCCTGGGAAACAGAACCCAATAGTGTCAAAATCGAGATCTGGAAATCTAAAATCAAGATTTGGAAGTGCTTTACTTTGCTTGATTGTGTCATGTTTAACTTATTTTAAAATAAGAACTAATTACTTAAGGGAAATTTAGTTTTGCACTGTGAGGTTACAGGAATGTGTGTATATATGTATCTCTGTGTGTGTGTTCTCTTTTTGCTCAGGACAGAAAAAAATGGGTAAAGGTTATTTCATTATAACTGAGACGGTTAACATGCCATGTGTTGCACATGTTGAGATGTTGAGTATTTAAACCAGTGGTTCCTAATCTTTTTTTGACTAGGGAGCACTTTGATTTGTTGTTGTTATTAGCATTGACCACAAGATTCAAGAATAATGGTCGGGCATCCGGACAATGGAGTTGATGGTGAGGACCATCGCTTCAATGCTGGTGGTCTTTGCTTCTTCCAGCACGCTGACATTTGTCTGCTTGTCTTCCCAAGAGATTTGCAGGATTTCTCGGAGGCAGCGTTGATGGAATCGTTCCAGGAGTGGCATGCGACGTCTGTAGACAGTCCACGTCTCGCAGGCATATAGCAGGGTTGGGAGGACAATAGCTTATAGACAATAGCCAATAAGTGGTGTGAGTATGTGACATGTGACATCAATCACTTGCCCTCCCCTCAACCTCCTGCACTTGTCCAATATCCTACTTGGCAGCACAGATTAATTAAAATGAATAAAGGTTTTAAAATGTAATTGTTTCACGGGCCATATTTGAGTTCTTGTGGAACACTGGTGGTCTGCAGACCACTGGTTTGTAACCACTGATTTAAATGTATTTAAATATTCAACGTCAAAAAATATATATTAAAAATGTTCCTGATTTTGAGCTAATTAACAACATCAATAACACAGAGTCTTTCCCTCCTTACATCACAGGCTACCTCCTCTTCCTCCTCCTCCTCCTCTTCTTCCTTCTCCTCTTCTTCTTCCTCCTTTCCTCCTTTCTTCTCTTCCTTTTCCCCTTCTACTACCTCCTCTTCTTCCTCCTCCTCTTCCTCCTCCTCTTCTTCCTTTATACTGCCTCCTCTTCCTCCTCCTCCTCTTCTTCTTCCTTCTCCCCTTCTTCTTCCTCTCCTGCTCTTCTTTCTTCTCTTCCTTCTCCCCTTCTACGACCTCCTCTTCTTCCTCCTCTTTTTCTACCTCCCCCGCTTCTTCCTCCTCCTCCTCTTCTTCGTCCTCCTGTTCTTCCTTCTTCCCTTCTACTACCTCCTTCTACTCTTCCTTTTCTTCCTTCTCCCCTTTTCTACCTCCTCCTCCTCCTCCTTCTCCTCTGCTTCTTCTTCTCTTCCTTTCCCCTTCGTCTCCCTCCTTTCCTTCTCCTCCTCTTCTTCCTTGTCTTCCTTCTCCCCTTCTACTACCTACTTCTCCTCCTCCTTTTCTACCTCCTCTGCATCTTCCTCATTCTCTTCTTCCTTTTCCCCTTCTTCTCCCACCTTTCCTCCTCCTCCTCCTTTTCTCTTCCTTCTCCCCTTCTACTACCTCCTCCTCCTTTTCTTCCTTCTCCCCTTTTCTACCTCCTCCTCCTCTTCTTCCTTCTCTGCCTTCTCCCCTTCTATTATCTCTTTCTCTTCTTCCTCCTCTTCTCCTTCTCCCCTTCTCCTCCTCCTTCCCTTTTCCTTCTCCCCTTTTTCTCCTCCTCCTCTTCTCTCTTCTTCTTCTCCTTTTCTTCCTTTCCCCCTTCTCTCCCTCCTTTCCTTCTCCTCCTATTCTTCCTTGTCTTCCTTCTCCCCTTCTACTACCTCCTTCTCCTCCTTTTCTACATCCTCTGCGTCTTTCTCATTCTCTTCTTCCTTTTCCCCTTCTTCTCCCACCTTTCCTCCTCCTCCTCCTCTTCTTTTCTACCTCTTCCTTCTCCTCCTCCTTTTCTTCCTTCTCCCCTTTTCTACCTCCTCCTCCTCTTCTTCTCTTCTTCCTTTTCCCCTTCTTCTCCCACCTTTCCTCCTCTTCTTCTCTTCCTTCTCCCCTTCTACTACCTCCTCCTCCTTTTCTTCCTTCTCCCCTTTTCTACCTCCTCCTCCTCTTCTTCCTTCTCTGCCTTCTCCCCTTCTATTATCTCTTTCTCTTCTTCCTCCTCCCCTTTTCTACCTCCTCCACTTCCTCCTCCTCCCTTTCTTCTCCCTCCTTTCCTTCTCTTCCTCTTCTTCCTTCTCCTCTGCTTCTTTCTCCTTCTCTCCTTCCTTTCCCCCTTCTTCTCCCTCTTTTCCTCCTCCTCTTCTTCCTTCTCTTCCTTCTCCCCTTCTACTACCTCCTTCTCCTCCTCCTCTTCCTTTCCCCCTTCTTCTCCTTCCTTTCCTCCTCCTCCTCTTCCTTCTCTTCCTTCTCCCCTTCTACTACCTCCTCCTCCTCCTCCTCTTCTTTCTTCTCCCCTTTTCAACCTCCTCCTCCTCCTCTTCTTCCTTTCCCCCTTCTTCTCCCTCTTTTCCTCCTCCTCTTCTTCCTTCTCTTCCTTCTCCCACTCCCTCTTCTTCTCCTCCTTCTTCTTCTCCTTCTCCCTCTTTCTCTCTCCTTCTTCCTTCTCCCCTTCTTCTCCCACCTTTCCTCCTCTTCTTCTCTTCTTTCTCCCCTTCTACTACCTCCTCCTTTTCTTCCTTCTCCCCTTTTCTACGTCCTCGGCTTCCTCCTCCTCCCCTTCTTCTCCCTCCTTTCTTTCTCCTCTTCTTCCCCCTCCCCTTCTACCTCCTTCTCCTCCTCCTTTTCTTCCTTCTCCCCTTTTCTACCTCCTCCTCCTCTGCTTCTTCTTCTCTTTTTCCTTTCCCCTTTCTTCTCCTTCCTTTCCTCCTCCTCCTCCTCCTCTTCTTGCCCAGGTAGATGCGGATGGCCCTTGATCCCCCCGCTGTGCGTTCTGCCAGGGCGTGGGGGTCTACCTGGCCGCCCCCTCCCACCTCCCTCTCTCCCGGGCTCACCTTGGTGCCGAGGCAGAGGCGGAGGGGGAGGCGGTGGCGGCGACGGCGCTCGAGGAGGCTGAGCAGGTGCTCCTGGAAGACGCCGAGGCGGGTGAAGAAGCGCTCCTGGTCCCAGCAGCCCTCCAGGTTGTCCACGTCGAGGCCGAGGCGGCGGAGGAAGCGGAGGCTGCGGGGCTGGAGGGCCACCTGCTGCGGGCGGGCCAGGAGGGCGGCGCGGGGCCGCTCCTCCAGCAGGGTCAGGCCCCGCACCTTGCCCGAGCGCAGGGCGGCCAGGGCGGCGGAGAGGCCCACCGGGCCCGCGCCCACCACCACCACCCAGGCCCCCGCCCGCCGCCGCCGCAGCCCCTCCGACGCCGCCTTCAGCACCGCCAGCACCGCCAGCGCCCCCAACAGCACGGCGGCCGTCTCCAGCACCGCGCGCTCCAGCTGCGCCTCCGTCGGACCCATGGGCAGAGTGGGCACGCCAAAGGAGAAAGGGAATCCTCTTTCCAAGGCTTTCCTGGAAGGGGTGGGGTTTGAGCAAAGCCCTACATGGCTCTCGTCATGTCTCCTCTCAGCCTTCTCTTCTGCAGGCTAAACATGCCCAGCTCTTTAAGCCGCTCCTCATAGGGCTTGTTCGCCAATAATGTTGGGCGTTGTGGGAGGGACTGCAGACCATGTGATCAGATCTGGGACCAGATCTACAGGCTAAACATGCCCAGCTCTTTAAGCCGCTCCTCATAGGGCTTGTTCTCCAATAATGTTGGAGGCATTGTAGGAGGGACTGCAGACCATGTGATCAGATCTGGGGACTATTCAGACCATGTGCTCAGATCTGGGAGCAGATCTACAGGCTAAACATGCCCAGCTCTTCAAGCCACTCTTCATAGGGCTTGTTCTCCAATAATGTTGGGCGTTGTGGGGGGGACTGCAGACTATGTGATCAGATCTGGGGACTATTCAGACCATGTGCTCAGATCTGGGACCAGGTCTACAGGCTAAACATGTCCAGCTCTTTAAGCCGCACCTCATAGGGCTTGTTCTCCAATAATGTTGGGGGTTGTGGGACGGACTGCAGACCATGTGCTCAGATCTGGGGACTATTCAGACCATGTGCTCAGATCTGGGACCAGGTCTACAGGCTAAACATGCCCAGCTCTTTAAGCCGCTCCTCATAGGGCTTGTTCTCCAATAATGCTGGGCGTTGTGGGTGGGACTGCAGACCATGTGATCAGATCTGGGGACTATTCAGACCATGTGCTCAGATCTGGGACCAGATCTACAGGCTAAACATGCCCAGCTCTTTAAGCCGCTCCTCATAGGGCTTGTTCTCCAATAATGTTGGGCGTTGTGGGAGGGACTGCAGACCATGTGCTCAGATCTGGGGACTATTCAGACCATGTGCTCAGATCTGGGGACTATTCAGACCATGTGCTCAGATCTGGGACCAGATCTACAGGCTAAACTTGCCCAGCTCTTTAAGCCGCTCCTCATAGGGCTTGTTCTCCAATAATGTTGGGCGTTGTGGGAGGGACTGCAGACCATGTGCTCAGATCTGGGACCAGATCTACAGGCTAAACTTGCCCAGCTCTTTAAGCCGCTTCTCATACGGCTTGTTCTCCAATAATGTTGGGCGTTGTGGGAGGGACTGCAGACCATGTGCTCAGATCTGGGGACTATTCAGACCATGTGCTCAGATCTGGGACCAGATCTACAGGCTAAACTTGCCCAGCTCTTTAAGCCGCTCCTCATAGGGCTTGTTCTCCAATAATGTTGGGCGTTGTGGGAGGGACTGCAGACCATGTGCTCAGATCTGGGACCAGATCTACAGGCTAAACTTGCCCAGCTCTTTAAGCCGCTTCTCATAGGGCTTGTTCTCCTATAATGTTGAGCATTGTGGGTGGGACTGCAGACCATGTGCTCAGATCTGGGACCAGATCTACAGGCTAAACATGCCCAGCTCTTTAAGCCGCTCCTCATAGGGCTTGTTCTCCAATAATGTTGGGCGTTGTGGGAGGGACTGCAGACCATGTGCTCAGATCTGGGGACTATTCAGACCATGTGCTCAGATCTGGGACCAGATCTACAGGCTAAACTTGCCCAGCTCTTTAAGCCACTCCTCATAGGGCTTGTTCTCCAATAATGTTGGGCGTTGTGGGAGGGACTGCAGACCATGTGATCAAATCTGGGGACTATTCAGACCATGTGCTCAGATCTGGGACCAGATCTACAGGTTAAACATGCCCAGCTCTTTAAGCCGCTCCTCATAGGGCTTGTTCTCCAATAATGCTGGGCGTTGTGGGAGGGACTGCAGACTATGTGATCAGATCTGGGGACTATTGAGACCATGTGCTCAGATCTGGGACCAGATCTACAGGCTAAACATGCCCAGCTCTTCAAGCCACTCCTCATAGGGCTTGTTCTCCAATAATTGTTGGGCGTTGTGGGTGGGACTGCAGACCATGTGCTCAGATCTGGGACCAGATCTACAGGCTAAACATGCCCAGCTCTTTAAGCCGCTCCTCATAGGGCTTGTTCTCCAATAATGTTGGGCGTTGTGGGTGGGCCTGCAAACTATGTGATCAGATCTGGGGACTATTCAGACCATGTGCTCAGATCTGGGACCAGATCTACAGGCTAAACATGTCCAGCTCTTTAAGCCGCTCCTCATAGGGACATATTAACTTTTTTATTAAAAAAAAATACAGGTAATCCAGTCAAACAGACAGACTGGTCAACAATCGAGGATTACATTGAAAAAAAAATGCAAGGATTTATAATTGTACCGAGACTATAATAAATATAAAATGGAATATACAAGGTGTATAGACAAAAAGTCTATATGGGCAGAATTGGAAGGAAGTCCCCCCCCCCTCTTTTTTGATAGGTGTCATGTGTATTTTTTCCCCTCTTTTTCTTTTCTCTCACAGGTGTCACGGCTGTCTTTTTCCTACTTTTCTATCTTCTTGAAAATATTCCCCCACTTTCTCTGTATTCTTAAATAACTCAATAAAAAAACTATAAAGAAAAAGAAAACTAGAGTATCCCAGGGCCGACCAAGGGCAAGATGGATGGATGGCATCCTTGAAGTGACTGGACTGACCTTGAAGGAACTGGGGGTGGTGACGGCCGACAGGGAGCTCTGGCGTGGGCTGGTCCATGAGGTCACGAAGAGTCGGAGACGACTGAACGAATGAACAAAGAGTATCCCAGAGTGTGTTACTGAACAACCTCTCAATAATACCTCGGCCTGTTCTTTAGTAATATGGTGGCAGTGGAAACCTTTTAAAGAATCCTTTTTAAGTCTCTCAGTTCCAGTAGTTCCCAGTTCCTAACTGTTAAAGAGACAGTTGGTCCAACAACTATTCTCCCTCTATATTTTATGAGCTATTCTGGAGTGGTGTCAATGTTATAATTTGGTAGGCTGCTGTGCAGATCGATATAATTTGGTGGTACAGCGGTGTGATCGTTATAATTTGGCTGATCAGCGGTGCTCCTTATAGGGCTTGTTCTCCAATAATTGTTGGGCGTTGTGGGTGGGACTGCAGACCATGTGCTCAGATCTGGGACCAGATCTACAGGCTAAACATGCCCAGCTCTTTTAGCCGCTCCTCATAAGGCTTGTTCTCCAATAATGTTGAGCATTGTGGGTGGGACTGCAGACCATGTGCTCAGATCTGGGACCAGATCTACAGGCTAAACATGCCCAGCTCTTTTAGCCGCTCCTCATAAGGCTTGTTCTCCAATAATGTTGAGCATTGTGGGTGGGACTGCAGACCATGTGCTCAGATCTGGGACCAGGTCTACAGGCTAAACATGCCCAGCTCTTTAAGCCGCTCCTCATAGGGCTTGTTCTCCAATAATGTTGGGGGTTGTGGGACGGACTGCAGACCATGTGCTCAGATCTGGGACCAGATCTACAGGCTAAACATGCCCAGCTCTTTAAGCCGCTCCTCATAGGGCTTGTTCTCCAATAATGTTGAGCATTGTGGGTGGGACTGCAGACCATGTGCTCAGATCTGGGACCAGATCTACAGGCTAAACATGCCCAGCTCTTCAAGCCACTCCTCATAGGGCTTGTTCTCCAATAATGTTGGGGGTGGGACTGCAGACCATGTGATCAGATCTGGGGACTATTCAGACCCTGTGCTCAGATCTGGGAGCAGATCTACAGGCTAAACATGCCCAGCTCTTTAAGCCGCTCCTCATAGGGCTTGTTCTCCAATAATGTTGGGGGTTGTGGGACGGACTGCAGACCATGTGATCAGATCTAGGGACTATTCAGACCATGTGCTCAGATCTGGGACCAGGTCTACAGGCTAAACATGCCCAGCTCTTTAAGCCGCTCCTCATAGGGCTTGTTCTCCAATAATGTTGGGGGTGGGACTGCAGACCATGTGCTCAGATCTGGGACCAGGTCTACAGGCTAAACATGCCCAGCTCTTTAAGCCGCTCCTCATAGGGCTTGTTCTCCAATAATGTTGGGGGTTGTGGGACGGACTGCAGACCATGTGATCAGATCTAGGGACTATTCAGACCATGTGCTCAGATCTGGGACCAGGTCTACAGGCTAAACATGCCCAGCTCTTTAAGCCGCTCCTCATAGGGCTTGTTCTCCAATAATGTTGGGGGTGGGACTGCAGACCATGTGATCAGATCTGGGGACTATTCAGACCCTGTGCTCAGATCTGGGAGCAGATCTACAGGCTAAACATGCTCAGCTCTTTAAGCCGCTCCTCATAGGGCTTGTTCCTTTTAAAGAATCCTTTTTAAGTCTCTCAGTTCCAGTAGTTCCCAGTTCCTGTTAAAGAGACAGTTGGTCCAACAACTATTCTCCCTCTATAGTTTTGATGAGCTATTCTGGAGTGGTGTCAATGTTATAATTTGGTAGGCTGCTGTGCAGATCGATATAATTTGGTGGTACAGCGGTGTGATCGTTATAATTTGGCTGATCAGCGGTGCGATTCGTTATACATGGCATCCAAATAATGGACCTAAACTGGCCCCTGATGGCAGATATCTGATTTCAGTAGCAAAACTGTTGCAACAACGTTGAGACATTCACTTGTGCTTTTAAATATACCTTTATTAAAATGTGTAAAGTTTGCAGAGAGACAAAGATTTACAAATGTTTTGATGTAAAGCATGGTAAGAAATGGGCTCACGGCCCATCACTATCTATATGCTGATAGCAGGCAAGAATATTATATTATTGAACAATGTATAGTTTAAACATTCAACAGGCATGGCAGAGGGGTGTGGTCTTTTCCAAGGCTATGCTTCTAAGAAAGGCATCTTCAACCATTACAAAACATTTCCTACTTTTCATTGTGAAATAAAGGAGCATTAGCAATAATGGCAGACTGGCAGTAATCTATATATATATAAATGCTCTGGTCATAATGAGTTCCTTAAAAACAAAAGAACCAATGAACGAAATCACACCAAATTTGGCAACAAAACGTCTCACAACACAAGGAGTGACCATCACTCAAAAAATTATGATTTTGTAATTTTGGGAGTTGTAGTTGCTGGGATTTATAGTTCACCTACAATCAAAGAGCATTCTGAACTCCACCAACGATGGAATTGAACCAAACTTGGCACACAGAACTCCCATGACCGACAGAAAATGCTGGGAGGGTTTGGTGGGCATCAACCTTGAGTTTTTGGAGTTGTAGTTCCCCTACATCCAGAGAACACTGTGGACTCAAACAATGATGGATCTGAACCAAACTTGGCACAAGCACTCAATACACCCAAATATGAACACAGATGGCATTTGGGGGAAATAGATCTTGACATTTGGGAGTTGTAGTCACTGGGATTCACAGTTCACATACACTCAAAGACCATTCTGAACCCCACGAACAACAGAATCGGGGCAAACTTCCCACGCAGAACCCCTATGACCAACAGAAAATACTTAAGGCCATCCAATCCAACTCCCTTCATCAGGGCAAGAAAATGTAATCAAAGTCCTCCTGACAAAGAGCCACCCACCCATAGATATAGATAGATAGGATAGATAGACAGATAGATATGATTCACACACTCACAGATATAGTATCATAGATTTGAAAGGGACCCCTAAAGAAGGACAATGATATGTTGCATGTTCCAGGGTGGGAAAACCAGACACTCTCCACATCAACACTGACCAAGAAACAGCAAGAAATACAGTTTACCCATAAGTATAAAGAAACTATATATATTAGAAACCAACACTTTCTCATTACTTTATTTTCCAGATCAACAGACTGGGCCACAGCAACGTGTGGCAGGGGACAGCTAGTAGAATATAGATGTTTGCTCTGTACTCAAATTGTCAGATTTATTCATAAAATGTCAGAGTCTGAAAAAGAAATTTAACAATGATTGATAACATTTAGCTTAATGGTAATTGTTTGCATCTTGATTTTCAGGGAGCCTTGCCATTTAGAAGCAATACACACATCCCTCACAATTGGGCAGGAAAAACGAAATGCAAAGATACAGAATGGGGGACAATGCCTGGCTCAAGAGCAATACATGTGTGAAAAAGATCTTGGAGTCCTCATGGACAACAAGTTAAACATGAGCCAACAATGTGATGTGGAGGCAAAAAAAGCCAATGGGATTTTGGCCTGCATCAATAGGAGCATAGTGTCTAGGTCTAAGGAAGTAATGCTACCTCTATTCCACGCTGGTTAGACCACACCTGGAATATTGTGTCCAATTCTGGGCACCACAATTCAAGAGAGATATTGACAAGCTGGAATGTGTCCAGAGGAGGGCGATTAAAATGATCAAGGGTCTGGAGAACAAGCCCTATGAGGAGCGGCTTAAGGAGCTGGGCATGTTTAGCCTGAAGAAGAGAAGGCTGAGAGGAGATATGAGCCATGTATAAATATGTGAGAGGAAGTCACAGGGAGGAGGGAGCAAGCTTGTTTTCTGCTTCCTTGGAGACTAGGACGCGGAACAATGGCTTCAAACTACAAGAGAGGAGATTCCATCTGAACATTAGGAAGAACTTCCCGACTGTGAGAGCCGTTCAGCAGTGGAACTCTCTGCCCCGGAGTGTGGTGGAGGCTCCTTCTTTGGAAGCTTTTAAGCAGAGGCTGGATGGCCATCTGTCAGGGGTGATTTGAATGCAATATTCCTGCTTCTTGGCAGGGGGTTGGACTGGATGGCCCATGAGGTCTCTTCCAACTCTTTGATTCTATGATTCCTGTTTTGTGCTTCCAAAGAAACAGATTTGGAAGAAATGGTAGAAATAGTAGGAACAAATTCCATGCACAACTCTAACAACCCACCACTTTCCCTGGTCACTGCATGTTCATATTGAGGGAGGCGGATGATCCCTGGAAAATTGTAGATGCTTCCCTCTTCAATGACAAAGAACAAAAGAAAGACAAAATATATGCTGCTGTTATACTGGTGTACATCATTAACAATGTGTCTTCTCAGAAGAAGGTAGGAAGCTGCCTAAAAGGAACAAATGAGCTTATGGGATAAGGAATTCACACACATATCGTTTGACAGTACGGCAGACTTCATCGACCCATTTTCCTTGAGCTGAGTGGGAAAACGAGACACAATTTTCCCGTTTCCCTCCATTGGGTTGTGATCGGTCCCAGTTGAAGTAGTTGAGGACCATTCCGTTGACATCAACAAATTTCCCCTCGTTGACCATGTCTGTGACACCCAGCCAAAAATCTCCCACATTTGGCATACTCTTCTTGGTGTAATCTCGAAGGGCATTGGTTTCATCTGCACTTCTCGGGATGGCAAGAGTCCCTCCCTTGGCTATGCAGTCTTCGTTTGCTTCATGAAAATGTTTGGCACCATCAGATGCCAAGTAACATTTCTTATGCACTTTTGTTCCACGAAGACAGACTGTGAATGGAAGAGGATGGACACAGTTACATTTTGCTTCAATTCTTACCATTACTCAAAATTGTATCTGGCATTATTTATTTATTTACAATATTTATATTCTGTCCTTCTCACCCTGAAGGGAACTCAGGGCAGATTAGAGAACACATACAGGGCAAACATTCAAAGCCATAAAACAGACAGGACAGACAACAGATAGAGGTATATGTCGGCATTTTTCTCAACTTTGGCGTCCTGGAGGTTGTGCTCGATTTTGGCCACAGGGAGGTGTTGTCACTCCATTCTTTGTGATGAAAAGCCCTTGATCACAGACTTCCCCCTTATTTTATTTATTTATTTATTTATTTCGGTTTCTTCTACCCCGCCCTTCTCACCCCGAAGGGCACTCAGGGCGGCTTACAAAGGCACAATTCGATGCCAGCATCACATAACAGTAGTAAAAACAAATGAACATCAATTAACAGTTAAACAGTTAAACAATTCCTGCATTACAACCATAAAACCAATAAAACAATACAAACCCAATTACTCCTCATAGATGGTCAGCGATCACTATCTCATTGTCCAAATTCCACTTCCACATCGTCAGTCCTGTCTGTCCTAATCGTCTGAATGTCCTTATCTAGTTGTCAGATTGCCCAAAGGCCTGGTCCCACAACCACGTCTTTACTTTCCTCCTGAAGGAGAGGAGGGATGTTGATGCCCTGATTTCTCCCTGGAGTGAGTTCCACAGGTGAGGGGCCACCACTGAGAAGGCCCTGCTCCTCATCCCCACTAACCTCACTTGTGATAAAGGTGGGGTCAAGAGCAGGGCCCCCTCAGATGATCTCAAATTTCGGGGTGGGACATAGAGGGAGATACGTTCGGACAGATACACTGGACCGGAACCGTACAGGGTTTTGTAGGCCAAAACCAGCACCTTGAATTGTGCTCGGAACTGAACCGGCAGCCAGTGGAGCTGACACAACAGGGGGAGGGGGTGGTGCTCCCTGTATGACTCTCCAGTGAGTAGCCTGGCTGCTGCTCGCTGGACCAGTTGAAGTTTCCGAACAGTCTTCAAGGGCAACCCCACGTAGAGTGCGATGCAGTAGTCTATTCGGGATGTAACAAGAGCGTGGACCCCTTTGATCATGGGGATTTTCTGGCATTTCCTTTTTATGGTGCTGTAAAATACCTCCCAGCTTAAGTGATGCCTAATTTCTCTACCCACAACTCACAGCTGTTTTCTTTTTTAAAAAAATAATCTTTATTAAGATTTTTTGTTAAAAACAATAAAACAATGTAGAAAGGAGAAAAAGAAAAAAAGGGTAAAAGACAAAGAAAAGAAAGAGAGAAGAAAAAGAGAAGGTAAGCAAAGAGAAGAAAGGTAATGGATAGAGAGAAAGAGGAAGAAAAGAAAAGAAAGAATACACACACACACACACACATATATAGATAAGTAATATAGAGGAGAAATAAAAAAATGTTTGTTGACTTCCAAGGTATCTTCGGAGTGGGCTCTTCCTTTTCTTTCTCCTATCTTCCTTCTTCTGTTTCTTTTTCTCCCCCTTTTTTCTTTCCTTCACCTTTTCCTTCTTTCTTTTCTCTCCTCTTCCCCTTCTTTCTATATTAATATATTTCTTTTTTTTAATTCTCAAGTATTCTGTACTCTTGACCAGAACATGTTTTGATGGATCTTAACTAAACATCTTTACTGCTGTTCGTGTTGAATTCTGTTTTAATTTTTGTATATTTGTATATTTTACATTCTGTGCTAATGCTTTTATGGCAAGCCGGTTTGAGTCCCCTTTGGGGAGATTAAGTGGGTTTTTTTTAATAATAATAATAATAATAATAATAATAATAATAATAATAATAATAATTTTATTTATTTATTTATTTTATTTGTCGTGTCAGAACAACCAGTCTAACAGAACAAAGCAAACAAACAGAAAAATACACAACTTGTGAGTTTGGTAGCTGGTTAAATGTCCTTTGACCAGTATCTGGCCACTTGGAGTGCTTCCGGTGTTGCTGCAAGAAGGTCCTCCATTGTGCATGTGGCAGGGCTCAGGTTGCATTGCAGCAGGTGGTCAGTGGTTTGTTCCTCTCCACACTCGCATGTCGAGGATTCTACTTTGTAGCCCCATTTCTGAAGGTTGACTCTGCATCTCGTGGTGCCAGAGCGCAGCCTGTTCAGCGCCTTCCAAGTTGCCCAGTCTTCTGTGTGCCCAGGAGGGAGTCTCTCATTTGGTATCAGCCATTGGTTGAGGTGCTGGGTTTGAGCCTGCCACTTTTGGACTCTCGCTTGCTGAGGTGTTCCAGCGAGTGTCTCTGTAGATCTTAGAAAACTATGTCTAGATTTAAGTTGTTGGCGTGCTGGCTGATACCCAAACAGGGGATGAGCTGGAGATGTCTCTGCCTTGGTCCTTTCACTATTGGCTGCTACTTCCCGGCGGATGTCAGGTGGTGCAATACCGGCTAAGCAGTGTAATTTCTCCAGTGGTGTAGGGCGCAGACACCCCGTGATAATGCGGCATGTCTCATTAAGAGCCACATCCACTGTTTTAGTATGGTGAGATGTGTTCCACACTGGGCATGCATACTCAGCAGCAGAGTAGCACAGCGCAAGGGCAGATGTCTTCACTGTATCTGGTTGTGATCCCCAGGTTGTGCCAGTCAGCTTTCGTATGATATTGTTTCTAGCACCCACTTTTTGCTTGATGTTCAGGCAGTGCTTCTTGTAGGTAAGAGCACAGTCCAGAGTGACTCCCAGGTATTTGGGTGCGCTGCAATGCTCCAGTGGGATTCCTTCCCAGGTGATCTTCAGAGCTCGGGATGCTTGTCTGTTCTTGAGATGAAAGGCACATGTCTGTGTTTTAGATGGGTTAGGGATCAGCTGGTTTTCCCTGTAATAGGCAGTAAGAGCACCTAGAGCTTCGGAGAGCTTCTGTTCTACCATCTCAAAGCTCCCTGCTTGAGCGGTGATGGCACGATCATCAGCGTAGATGAAGCTCTCTGTCCCTTCTGGCAGTGGCTGGTCATTTGTGTAGATGTTGAACATGGATGGAGCAAGCACGCTCCCCTGAGGCAGGCCGTTCTTCTGTTTCCGCCATCTGCTTCTCTGGCCCTGGAACTCAACAAAAAAGCTCCTGTTTTGTAGCAGGTTTCCTATGAGGCAGGTGAGGTGGTAGTCCTTTGTGATATTATACATTTTTCTCAGGAGGAGGCGGTGGTTCACAGTATCATAGGCTGCTGACAGGTCTATGAAGACAGCTCCTGTGATCTGCTGCCTTTCAAAGCCATCTTCTATGTGCTGAGTCAGGTTCAGCACTTGCGATGTGCAGCTTTTGCCTTTCTGAAGCCAGCTTGCTGTGGGATCAGACAGGGGTCTATTTTTTCCATAATTCTATGCAAAATAAGTCTCTCCAGAACTTTGTAGAGGTGGCACAGCAGGGAGATTGGTCTGTAGCTTTTTGGGTCATTACGGTCTTTGCCTGGCTTCAAGATGGCGATGACTCTTGCTTTCCTCCAGATTTTGGGGATCTGACAGGATGCCGTGCAGTTCTTCATCAGCTCCAGCAGCCAGCGCCTTGCTTTGGGACCAAAGTTCTTGATTTGTTCCATCCGTAGGCCAGCTGCTTTGCCATTTTTACATTTATTGAGAGCCATGTCCAATTCAGTAGATGTAAAGGGTTCATGGAGGTTGTTGTTCTCAATCTCTGGTTGCCTGGCTATTGATTTCTTTCCTACTTTGGTGGCAGAGTTGGGTTTCCCATTCTTCAAGAGTTGGTGTGGTATCTGATCTGCCTTTATGTTGGCATGGGTATTAGTTTGTGAGGGGTCACTGCTTAACCGTCTCAGTAGCCTCCAGGCCTTCTGGCTGCTCCTGCCCATGTCGACCTCTGTGATCAGTTTGATCCACTGTTCTTTCTTGGCTTCAGAGATGGAGGACACAATGCTCTGCGCTGCCTGGAGGGTTTGCTCACTAAATGGGTCTTCGTTGTGGAGCCTGTAATAGTTTTCCAGCAAGGCAGCTGTTTCAGGGGTAATGCCCTGAAGGTAGTTGGTTAAAATAATAATAATAATAATAATAATAATAATAATAATAATAATAATAATAATAATAATAATATAATTTGGCCTGTGATTTTCTTCAGCTGTTTTGTTTTGGGAATTTCAGGAGAAGGGGTGGAGGAAGCAGGAAGCTAAAAAGAACTTGGGGACTATTATTTGTTCGACCATATTTCTATTTGGGGAAAAAACCTCGCCACATTGGTTTCAAGACACCCAGCAAGGAAAAAATGATGTTTATATTGACAACAGGGAGGGTTGAATTATCCGGAAATAGGTGTATACTTGGCTTTGGACTACAGTTTGAGATCTGAAGGCCTTTTCATTAATTTGAGCTGCAAAGTGCCAAAGTAAAGCTAGGTGTGCATGAGGTCAACCCAATGCTTAGCAAACAAATATTGCACAAGGAATTTTAAAGTGCTGTTCCAAATGTGAGCTAAACAACCTTGGGCAGTTTACTTTTGGGCTTCAACACTCTGAATTCCCTAAATCTTCTATTCCAAAACCGACCCACTGTGCTTTTTACTACATTGCTTGGTTTAAAGCAGTGTGTGTGTGTGTGTGTGTGTGTATAAGGCATGGTTAGGTTCAGTTGAAATCTTCATAATTCGGAATAAATTCGGAAAGATTTCCTTTTTGACGTGATTTTGAAGTTTTTAAGGAAACCGGAAATCCCTTTGCCCTTCCAATGCTTTTTCCGCCATTTCTCTTACGAATAAGTAAGTGAGTCGGAAATTTTTCAGCTTTCCCCTGCTTCTGTTCCTTGGCTTTGGTTCAAGCCAGTGTGGATGGATTCCCTTCCTTTCCTTTCCCTCTTGCGTCAGTTTAAACCGGTGTGTTTGGATTCCCTTCCCTTCCTTTCCCTCCCGTATCAGTTTAAACCGGTGTGGATGGATTCCCTTCCTTTCCTTTCCCTCTCACATCAGTTTAAACCGATGTGGTTGGATTCCCTTCCCTTCGCTCCCGCGTCAGTTTAAACCGGTGTGGATGGCTTCCTTTTCTTTCCCTCTCGCGTTAGTTTAAACCGATGTGGTTGGATTCCCTTCCTTTCATTTCCCTCTCACGTCAGTTTAAACCGATGTGGTTGGATTCTCTTCCCTTTCCTCCTGCGTCAGTTTAAACCGGTGTGGATGGATTCCCTTCCTTTCCTTTCCCTCTCGCATCAGTTTAAACCGGTGTGGATGGATTCCCTTCCTTTCTTTTCCCTCTTGCGTCAGTTTAAACCGGTGTGGTTGGATTCCCTTCCTTTCCTTTCCCTCTCGCATCAGTTTAAACCAGTGTGGATGGATTCCCTTCCTTTCCTTTCCCTCCCACTTCAGTCTTAAGCAAGAGCAGTTTTAACCAGAGTGGATGGATTTCTTCCCTTTGCTTCCTCAACCCCTTTTGGAGTAAAACAACTACTTTCAAAGTAAAGACCACCCAATTAAACAGGAAATAACACTTTGAAACTATTAACAAAGAATTCGGAATTCTCAGAAATTTAGCAAAGTCTTGAACTTTTTTTCTGTGAAAATCGGAATTGATTTTACATCTGGACCACCAGTGCCCTCTACATCCAAAACGAGTTTTGAACTTTTTTTTTTAATCAAACAAGCCACACACACACATACAGTAAAGGATATGGAAAACATAAGTTGAGGTGTTAAAAACAATTATAAAATAGAGTTAAACAATGTTACACATCAGAGTTCAAAACAATATTAGATCTGTGTCTATTTAAATCAGTGGTTCTTACGCTGTGGGCTGCGAGGATGAAAATCTGGATTACGAGCCTCCTTCCTCTTAATTTAATTTAATTCTGCTCCTTTCGCTCTTCCTGCCATTCCTTCCCTGTCTCTGATCATGGCATATGTTCTGTACCAGAAACTAGAGCTGATGTGGTCTATCCAATGCAAATTTCTGAATTAGCACCCCAAACCAAATCTAAAGCTAACCAAAAACCGATTCGTAACCTTTTTGGTACTAATGTTGGAGAGTGGTCCCTGGTCAAAAAAAGGTTGAAGACCACTGATTTAAACAAAAACAGAACTTGGAGATAGGACATTTTTGGATTACGACTTCCAGAATTGCCTAGCAAGCATGGTCATTGTGGAAATCTTTTATTAAGACAGGTCACTTCACAGCAATTCCCAAATTTAAGATCCTTAGTTTTGTGATCTTCACTAAAGTGAGAGTTGAATATGATGTCTTCCAAGACATATTCATTTATCTTTTTAACAGTCCATAGTATCTGTTAAACTCAATATATTTATTTATTTATTTATTTCGGTTGCTTCTACCCCGCCCTTCTCACCCCGGGGGGGACTCAGGGCGGCTTACAAAAGCGAGGCACAATTCGATGCCTGCATCACAAACAGCAAAGGACAATAACAACAGTTAACACAATAATTTTAGCAATAACAGTTAACAGAAGACAATAATTATTATCAGCAAAACAACTATAAAAGCAATAAAAGCAATAAAAGCAATAAAATCAATACAAACCTCATTGATGGCCAGCGTTTCAGAGTCTCATAGTTTACGTTCCAATTTCCACTAAATTGTCGGTCCTATCCATCTGGTTTCCATATCTAATTGTCAGGGTGTCCAAAGGCCTGGTCCCACAACCACATCTTTACCTTCCTCCTGAAGGCAAGGAGGGATGTTGATGCCCTGATTTCCCCCGGGAGTGAGTTCCACAGGTGGGGGGCCACCACTGAGAAGGCCCTGCTCCTCGTCCCCACTAGCCTCACTTGTGATAGCGGTGGGGTCAAGAGCAGGGCCTCCCCAGATGATCTCAGATTTCGGGGTGGGATGTAGAGGGAGATACATTCGGACAGATACGCTGGACTGGAACCGTAAATGGTTTTGTAGGTCAAAACCAGCACCTTGAATTGTGCTCGGAACTGAATCGGCAGCCAGTGGAGCTGACACAGCAGGGGGGTGGTATGCTCCCTGTATGTCGCTCCAGTGAGTAATCTGGCTGCCGCTTGCTGGACCAGTTGAAGTTTCCGAACAGTCTTCAAGGGCAACCCCACGTAGAGTGCGTTGCAGTAGTCTATACGGGATGTAACAAGAACGTGGACCACTGTGGCCAGATCAGACTTCCCGAGGTACGGGAATATTATCATGTGATATAACATGGTGCCAGTTTATCCACCATTAAAGCCATGCATTTTGTTAGTTCTCTTTTCCAAATAGTCCTCTAACCACTGCTATACTGGGCAACAGAAAAAATAAATGTATTTTCATTCGTAGACATCCTTTCCTTGTACAAATCGATTATTAAAAATTCCAGACTTACCTGTCTGTAGTGCTTGCATTTCTTTCAAGGAGTTTACCTCTTGCCAAAGCTTGTCAATTTGGGTCTTTAGGTCACCATTCTTTTCTTAAATAAAGAAATGTTGACATATATTAGTATGCCTACTAGGCCTGTGCAATTAATAAAAAAGTTTAAATACTCGTTACTAAATTAGGGGCGGTGGCAAATTGTTTATAAAGTGTTTCTAAAATATCGTAAGGTCTCTGTATCTAAACTATAGCAACATAATAAAATTTTCATTATTTTTTCATTATGTAATTGTGCAAGTGGGGAAGCTTCTGGGGCTCCTTTCTCTCTCAATTTTAGAGCTATTGGGATGAAACTTGCTACAATTGTAGAACACATTTACCACTGTTACCCCCTCGCCGCCAAGTTTCAGAACATTTCACTGATTTTTGAGATTTTAAAAAAGTTTTTATGAACAACAAAACTACAAGAGCTATCTCCTTGAATTTCTGTTTTCAATGATATAACATACAACCAGGGCATCATTTTCCCCAAGTTTCAGAAAGATTTGTATATCCACTGATTTTTAGGGAATTTTAACCAACATAAACGTAACAGTACTATTTCACTGGAAGACCCCAGGGGTTATCCAATCTAACCCTCTTCTGCCAGGCAGACAAAGCAGTCAAAGCACTCCCAAAAGATGCCCATCCAGCCTTTGAAATAATAATAATAATTTAAATCTACTAAGTAAACATTGGCGTTACTGTCCCTTAACTTTGTCTACTTCACAGGATTGATTCAACTACTAAAATCCCCTTTATCTTGATATCCCTTTATAGAATGAACACCAAACCTTTCGGGGAGGAGGAGGCACAAGGTGGTATGCAAAATTCTGGGAAAGGTAGTTTGGGAAAGTGAGGACCCATATGACTGAGAATTCAAAAGGTCCCAACCTAAACAGTGTATCTGTCCGAACGGATCTCCCTCTACGTCCCACCTCGGAGTTTAAGATCTTCTGGGGAAGCCCTGCTCTCGACCCCGCCTCTATCACAAGTGAGGCTGGCGGGGACGAGGAGCAGGGCCTTCTCAGTGGTGGCCCCTCACCTGTGGAACTCACTCCCCGGGGAAATTAGATCAGCGACTTCCCTTTTTTCATTCAGAAAAAAATTGAAGACCTGGATGTGGGACCAGGCTTTTGGACATTCTGGCAGCTAAAGGAAAGACCTTGATGATGGGCAGGAATTGACGGAACGGAATGGATTTATGGAACTCTGAACACTGACCATGAGATTGTTTACTATTGTGTTATGTACTGATGATTTTAACCTGTTAACTGTTTAATTGCTTTTATGTATGTATGTATATTTGACATAGGCATCGAATTGTGCCTTTTTTGTAAGCCGCCCTGAGTCTCCCCTCGGGGGTGAGAAGGACGGGGTAGAAGTAACTGAAATAAATAAATAAATAAATAAATAAATAAACTACATTTCCCAGAATTCGAATTGCTTCAGAATACCAGGGTTGCCCATGTTAAAGCCTTATTTTGATGGTCTGTGCCTGTCTCTCTCGGCGGAACATGTGCCAGAAGGGAACATTCTGAAACATGTTCCAGAAGTATATGAAAAATGCACATATTAACATTGCCTGGCCATCCATTTTTAGAGCAAATCAATATACACCAAGATGATAACCTGAGAGTAAGAACTCTACCATGATGTGCAACTGACCTTAGAACAGACTCAGACCATGAACTTAGATGGCATGTTTTCTAAGTTTTTAATTTTTTAAAATCTGTTTTAACTCTGTTTAATATTTTGCAATTTTTGAAATGTTGGATTATTGTTGTTGAGGCACGATGTTGTGCCATTGTAAGCCATCTTGAGCCCCCCTGTCAGGGTAGAGAAGGGCGGGGTACAAGTATGACAAATAATAAATAAATAAATGATGGCTTTTGTGGGGGGACGGGGGATGTTCTTATGGAAAATTCTTTTCTAAAACTATATGGAAAATGCACATAGTAACATTGCTGGTGATAAGTAAATCTTAGCATGCAGGAACTCTGTTCTGCAGTGTTTTCCAACCGGGGGTCGGGACCGCTGGGGGAGTTGCGAGGGGGGTGTCAGAGGGGTCATCAGAAAGCACAGTATTTTCTCTTGGGCATGGGGGTTCATGGGAAGATTGGCCCAATTCTGTCATTGGTGGGGTTCAGAATGTTCTTTGATTGTAGATAAACTATAAATCCCAGCAACGACAACTCCCAAATGTCAAGATCTATTTTCCCCAAACACCACCAGTGTTCACATTTGGGCATATTGAGTATTCATGCCAAGTTTGGTCCAGATCTTTCATTACTTGAGCCCACAGTGCTCCCTGGATGTGGGTGAACTACAACTCCAAAACTCAAGGTCAATGCCCACCAAACCATTCCAATATTTTCAAAGGCTTTCATGGCCGGAATCACTGGGTTGTTGTAGGTTTTTTCGGGCAATATGGCCATGGTCTAGAGGCATTCTCTCCTGATGTTTCGCCTGCATCTATGGCAAGCATCACACAGAGAAGCCACTGAAATACACAAGCTTGTGGACAATTTCAACAGTAATGAGGAAACCATGAAAATGAACAAAATCTGGCTAGCAGTATTAAAAAACTCTAAAATTACAACAACACAACAACAGAGAGGAAACAAAAAAGGACATCTAATCACCTCTCAACAAAAGTTTGCTCCAGGCTCTGTCAGACCATTATATGCTAATCAAGGTGATCAGTTGAAACATTCACTAGCTCCAACAGACAAGAGTCCTTTGCCCCACCCTGGTCATTCCACAGATATATAAACGCTTTTTCCTAGTTCCAACAGACCTCACTACCTCTGAGGATGCTTGCCATAGATGCAGGCAAAACGTCAGGAGAGAATGCCTCTAGACCAGTGGTTCTCAACCTGGGGTCCCCAGATGTTTTTGGCCTTCAACTCCCAGAAATCCTGACAGCTGATAAACTGGCTGGGATTTCTGGGAGTTGTAGGCCAAAAACATCTGGGGACCCCAGGTTGAGAACCACTGCTCTAGACCATGGCCATATAGCCCAAAAAAAGTACAACAACCCAGTGATTCCAGCCATGAAAGCCTTCGAAAATACTGGAAGGGTTTGGTGGGCATTGACCTTGAGTTTTGGAGTTGTAGTTCACCCACATCCAGGGAGCACTGTGGGCTCAAGTAATGAAAGATCTGGACCAAACTTGGCATGAATACTCAATATGCCCAAATGTGAACACTGGTGGAGTTTGGGGAAAATAGATCTTGACATTTGGGAGTTGTCGTTGCTGGGATTTATAGTTCATCTACAATCAAAGAACATTCTGAACCCCACCAATGACAGAATTGGGCAAAAATACAGTTAGTAAGTAGCAACAAAAATAATGTTATGTTTGGGGGTCACCACAACATAAGGAACTGTATTAAGGGGTTGCAGCATTAGGAAGGTTTAGAAACACTGCTGTACTGTACACCAATTTGTGTTTCATGATGAAGAAAAACTGGGATATAAATCCAATTAAAGAAAACACAAACAGAATTATCCAACTCAGATGAAGCAATGTAGCAAAAAATAAATGCTTGGAGCAAAGAAGTTTGTCCTGGATGTAATCAGATACCATCTTACATATTAGTTTAAAAAGAAAATCAATAGTTTGATCATTGCTTACCTTTCACCCTCCTTTTACTGTGTTTTCTAGCTTTGGAAGCCTGGCCAAGGATCTGATCCAGCAAAAGTATAGCCACAAGGAGGAGAATCAGACATCCTTTTTGTGCCATAGCTTTCTTCGGAGTGTGAGTAAGCGTTCTTGAAGACTAGCTGGTGAGTACTACATAGAGCCTCATCCTGGTAGAACTGACGGTGTTGGCCTTTATAAAAGTGTAGTGACAAAATTGGCTCTGCACCTTGTTTATGTACTGAATGAACTCCTTCAGCAGGCTTCATCATAAGGTGCTCTCTTGTTCTCTGGTTTTCTAAAAACTCTTCCAGACTTGTATTTCCTGTTAGTTCTAACCAACCCAATTTATCAGGCTCACAATCCAATGTAAAATATATGTACTCGGATGAAATTCCTGTAGAGTTCTGTGCTTCTTAGTGTGTTGTATTTAGAATACAGATTCATATGCTTTTTTTTATCGTGTCAGAAATGACTTGAGAAACTGCAAGTCGCTTCTGGTGTGAGAGAGTTGGCAATCTGCAAGGACATTGCCCAACAGATGCCTCCTGTGGGAGACTTCTCTCAGGCAACAATTTTTGGATGACACAGCCGGCCTGCAGGCCCGTAGCCAGGATTTCGTTTCGGGGGGGGGGGGGGGCTGGGGCAGGCCCGTAGCCAGGATTTTGATTCGGGGAGAGCTGAGTTTGATTCGGGGGGGGGCTGAGTCTGAGTGAAAGAGGGTCTACCCTAGCAAACCTTTTGTATCGATACCCCAATACCCCCATGCATATGGGATATATTGAGTATGGTGATCAGATCATGATATGAATAAACATAACAGTTTAAATAATGCACCAGTAAGGCCTTTTTGCGAACCACCATGAGAATTTCGGGGGGGGGGGCTGAAGCCCCCCAAGCCCCCCCCCTGGCTACATGCCTGGTGGCCTGGACCCTTTCCAGTCAGTTTTCCGCCCTGGCCATGGGACGGAGACAGTCCTGGTTGCCATTACAGATGAACTTCGTCGAAAGTCTGATAACGGCAGATCAGCGCTACTGGTACTTCTCGACCTTACCGCAGCTTTTGACACCATTGACTACGATCTAATGATACACCGTCTTGCCATGTCCAGAGTTCGCGGTCAGGCCCTCAATTGGTTCGACTCATTTCTCCGAAACAAAGCGTGGAGTATATGGATCAAGTCTCTGAAAGATCTCCCCTCCTATGTGGGGTACCCCAAGGTGCAATTCTCTCCCCTCTTCTCTTCAACATCTATGTTAGACCCCTTGCTAGTTTGGCTCGGAGTTTCGGCCTAGACTGCTATCAGTATGCGGATGACACCCAACTCCTTCTGCGCCTGGAGCCTGGAGCAACATCAATACTAGACAATTTCACCTTATGTCTGGAGGCTCTGTCGAACTGGCTACGTGCTAGTAGACTGAAGGTGAACCCGGCAAAGACTGAGATTCTCTGGCATGGCCGCTTGATTGGTCTGACCCATTTGCTACCCACCTTCGATGGTGCTGCCCTATCTCCTTCACCTACCGTTAAGAGCTTGGGTGTCGTTTTGGATTCGCAGCTGACAATGGAAGCTCAGGTCGCTGCTGCCAGCAAACAGGTCTTTTTCCATCTACGACAAGCGAGGCAATTGGCACCCTACCTATCTGATGAGGCTCTGACAACAGTCATCCATGCCACGGTTACGTCTAGGATGGACTATTGCTTTTTTTTTTTTATTTTTTTTTTATTTTTTTTTTAAATTATTTATACATACTATTGCATTTTCTACATCAACCTCTTTAACATGTTATTTTGTTGTTTTGCTTTGACATTCCTCCCCTTTTTTTTCTCTTTTTTTTTTTTTCCCCACCTCCGTGCTCCCCTCCACCCGTTTCAAGCCACATTTCTTACATTTCATCAGTCCAAAATTTCATTTCTTCTTGTGACGGTAATTTTCCTTCCTTATTTTTTAATCCATTTATCACAAATTTCCCCCATATAGCATCAAAATCACTTTGTTTCCATATACCTTTTTTAACCTTTAATATACATGTCAGTTTATCGTTTAAAGCTAATTTCCATGCTTCCTTATACCACTCCTCTATTTGTATATTCATTTCTTTTTTCCAATTCCTTGCTATGAGCAGTCTTGCTATAGTTAGCAAATTTGTTATCGCTTCTTTATCCTCCTTTTTCAATTGCTTATTGGTATATAATGATAGTAAGGCTATACTAGGACTTTTATCTATTTTCATATTCATTATAATTTCTATTTCTCTAAATACTTTCTCCCAAAAATTATTTACATATTTACATTGCCACCACATATGTATATATGTTCCTGGTTCTTGACACCCTCTCCAACAATTTATTGAATTATTTTTATTCATATATGCTATTCTTACTGGTGTCAAGTACCACTTCCATATTAACTTATAATAATTTTCTTTAACCCGTATCGATAAGTTTTTTAAATGTCTTTGTCCCCATAACTGTTGCCACTCTATTTCGCTTATTTTTATCCCTAAATCCTCTTCCCAAATCTCCTTAAGGGTACACTTTTTTATTTTTCCATCCCTCATTTCAATTAGTATCTTATAGATTTTGCTAATTATACCTCTCAAGTTTTCATGTTCTTCTACTGCCCTTCCCTTCTGTATTATTTGTTCGAATTGATTAAGTTGGCCTCCATTTCTATTATTCTTTTTCCAATTTATTAACCATTGTTCTAATTGTATACAGTGAAACCATGATAATTTTATTTCTTTAAACTCTTCCAACATCCTTTCCCTCTTCATTTCCACTTTCATCCAATCCCCTATTCTATCTAAATTTATTTCCCTTACCTTTTTATCCATTACTTTTTTTAAATTTTTTGGGAATTTCTTTTCCATCACTATTGGGGTAATAATTGATCCTTCCTTTATTAACCTCCCCTTGTACTTATTCCATACTTTCAGTATGTTACTCAACATTGGGTTTCTAATTTCCTTCAATTCTTTTCTAGTAAGCTGTTTAAAAAATATATTCCAGGTTTCATCTTCCACTTTTCCTGAATCATTACTAAGCCAGTCTATTCCCTTTTTTTTAACCATTCCTTCTATAACCAGATTTAATCTACTTGCATCATAATATTTTTTTATATTAGGTAATGCTAGTCCACCCTCCTTTTGCAATCTATACCATATTTGTTTATTTAGTCTATTTTTCTTACTTCCATTGCAGTACTTATTAATCATTTGTTGCCATCTAGTTAGTTCTTCCTCTGTGATTTGAAGTGGTAGCATCCTAAATATAAAATTTATTTTTGGAAGTATTTTCATTTTTACTAATGCTATTCTTCCAAACCAGGATAAATGTATACCTTCGTACTCTATTAACTTTTTCTGAACTTCTTTTCTTAAAGTTACTACATTTTCTTCCTCTATCTCTTTTAAATCTTTAGTTATTATTACTCCCAAATATTTTAATTTATTCTTAATTCTTATTCCCGTTTTTCTTTGTTCTATGATTTTTTTTCTTCTTCTCTTGTATAATTGAGTAGCATCATTTCTGACTTGTTCCAATTAACTTGTAAACCCGTTGCTTTCCCAAATATCTCCAAATGTTCTTTTATTCTATCTATTTTCTCCACTATATTTTCTATAAATAACAATGTATCGTCAGCAAATAAGCTCACCTTCTGTTTCTCCTTTTTTCCTAATCCCTCTAAGTTTTTATCTTTCCTTATATTATTAGCAAAAAGTTCTATCACCATAGCAAATAATATCGGGGACAAAGGGCACCCTTGTCTAGTTCCTCTAGTCACTTGTATTTCGTTTGTCACTCCATCATTTATAGTTATTACTGCTGAATTCTTTGAATAAAATTGTTTTAGTACTCCTTTTATTTTATTTCCCATTCCAAATTTATTCAATATTTCCCTTAATGTCTCCCATTCCACACAATCAAACGCTTTAAAAATATCTAATGATAATATCCCTGCTTTTTCTTTCCTCTCTTTAGCCCAATGAATTTTATTTAGTACTCTCCCTATCAAATTTGACATTTGTCTTCCTTTTATAAACCCACACTGATCTTCTTTTATATACTTATACATACATTTATTCATTCTATTAGCTAATATCGCGGATAATATCTTTGCGTCTTGGTTTATTAATGATATGGGTCTATATGACCCTGGATCTGTTAAGTCTTTATCAGGTTTGGGTATTAATATTATTAATGATCTCCTCCATGAGTCGGGTATTTTATCTCCCTTCATTATTCCGTTATATAATTCCAATAATTTTGGGGTTAAAACTTCTCTAAAGCTTTTATAGTATTCCGTCCCTAAACCATCCAAGCCTGGGGCTTTTCCTACTTTTAATTTATTAATGACTTCCTCTATTTCTTTTTTCTTAATAGGTTGTTCCAATAACTCTTTATCTTTCTCATCCAGCTTACTCTCCCAATTTTCTTCCACATATTTCCTAATTGCTTCTATGGGACTTGCTTTAGTTTGATATAGGTTTTTATAAAATTTATAAAATTCCTCAAATACTTTCAATTTTTCTTTCATAGCTCTACATAATTTACCTGTTTTATCTTTTATCATGTTTATCGTTCCTTCCATTTTCTTTTTCTGTGTTGATTTGGCTAGGATCTTTGAATTCCTATCACTAAACTCAAAATATTCCCTCCTTAAATAAATTAAATTTTCTTGTACTTCGTCTATTTCCATTTTATCCAATTCCTCTTTTTTTGCTCTTAACCTAGCATAAATTCGTGTATCTCTCTTTATTACATATGCTTTTTCAATCTCTTCTATTTCTCTTTCTAAATTCCTTTTCCTTTCTTCTTGCCTTCTCTTTAAATTAATTGTCTCTTTTATACATAACCCTCTGGTCACTGCTTTCATAGTGTCCCATAGAACTCCTTTTGTCACCCCCTTTTCGTTGAAGCCCCATATTTCTTGCCATTCTGCTTGCACTTTATCTACTATCTCTTTATGATTTAGTATTCTTGTGTTTAACCTCCACCTTTTCATTTCATCATAATCACATTTCAACGCAATCTCAATTGAAACCAAAGCGTGATCCGAAATCTTAATCATACCTATATCAGCATTTAGCACTTTACTTGTCATATTTTTGGAGACAAAATATAATCAATTCTTGTATACACCTTATGTACTGATGAATAATAT